CATTTCAACAGAGAAAAATGAACGGAACCAAAGGCCGGCATTTCAACTAGCAATACTCAGAAAACAGCAGGGGGACATTTGAATGTTCCAGGACATACTGCTACCTATCTCAACGCTTCTGTTTCACCAAAAAACCCAAAACCCTTCAAAACATTCCTGTTGCAAAACATTCCGGGTGCCATACTATTTCTCCAACAGGCTTGAACAAAGACGTGGGTTTCCTCACTCACTACAAAATGGATCCACACTACATTTTCCGGTGGAAGAATGGTCTTCCATCCCACTGATCTTCAAAAAATGCTGCTCCACCACCCTGAACAACTTAGTGTCATCTGCAAATTTAGCCACTTCCCTGCTTACTCCCAACTCCAAATTATTAATGAACAAGTTAAAAAGCATCGGACCCAGTACGGAGCCCTGCGGTACCCCACTGCTTACCACCCTCCACTGTGAAAATTGCCCATTTATACCCACACTCTGTTTCCTATTAATTAGCCAGTTTTGGATCCACAAGAGGACTTGTCCTTTTATCCCATGACTATTCGGCTTACTTAGCAGTCTTTGATGAAGATATTTAGCAAAAGCTTTCTGGAGGTCAAGGCAAACAACATCTATTGGGTCCCCCTTGTCCGCATGTTTGTTCACCCCCTCAAAGAACACTAACAAGTTAGTGAGACAAGATCTTCCCTTACAGAATCCATGCTGAGTCTTCCTCAATAGTTTTTCTTCATCAATGTGCCTACCAGTGTTCCCTCTAAGCTGAGTTAGTGTGAGCTAGCTCAGTTTTTTAGCCTCTGACTCACACATTTTCTGTCTTAGGTCAGGAAGGATGGCTCCAGAGCAGACTGATTTATGCAGTAGCCAAATCACTCGCTCACAACTTTAATGACAGTAGCTCACAAAGTAGACTCCACGGCTTAGAGGGAGCATTGCCTGGGAAGTACGGGATCCTGAGTAACGGCAAGAGGAGGTTTGCAGGAGTGGTCCTCATCACCCCCTCTGTATGGATGGATTTCTCTGATTGGCTGCTGCTCTGACTGGCTTATTTTTGTACCAGCTCCCTGCTAACTACCACGGATGTGTATCCTATGCCTCTGACAAAGTGAGCTCTGACACATGAACGCTTACGGCATTAGAGATGTAATTAGTATTTATGGTGCTCCTTAGAGAGAGTGGGCACGCCAATCTCCCTTGTGGGAGGGTGTTAGCTGACGGTCAGACGTCCTGGTCGAGGCTTGGAAGGCGAAACAGCTTCTCGGCTACGAAAGAATCCCTGCAATGGATGTTCCGGCCAGGCGGTGGCAGTGTGGCGATTGACATATGGGTCCTGAAGCCTGGCCAACAAGCAGCCCTGCGGAAAACGACAGAGCCAAGCCAGAAGACGTCTATACCGGGCAGTGATTGCGCATGCAATTTAAAAAATGAACATATGTTGTCTTCCCTATCCCCTACAAACATTGTTAGTCCCTTGTCTATACCGAGTAACTGTACATCGCTTTGAGCCCACTGGGGAAAGCGATTAATAAAATGGAAAGTATTAGTATTATTATAATTTATTTACATATACCCCCTGCCACAAACACTGAAAGCAAGATGCGATGCAGCGAAACAAAAAATGAACAATTCTGTGAATCAACTGAAATAGAACAGGACAGCTTCTGAATGGATTGTGCCCCCTGTTAATTCATGCATGCAGAAGCATCAGTCCATCTTAACACCCACAGCATCAAAATGTTGCAAACCTGCATTTTCAAGAGCAGCATCCCCTGGTCCAGGGGAGACATAACCCCTGGGTCAGCTATGGGCTTTTCTACATTTTCATTTTTCTCACATGTGTGTTCTTGTTGCTTTGGGGGCAGGGGGGGGGGCGGGTGTCTAGTCCACAAGAGTTTTGCTCCCTCTAGTGGTCAATTCGATATTACATCGCTTTATGTCCAGCATCTCTCCCTGCAGATTTAAACTGCAGGTTTTTATGCCAGACGTAAAAGGCTGTAACATCGAATCGACCACTGGAGGAAGCAAAACATGCGCAGAACAGAACAGACTGCTGCCTTCGGGTAAAAGATATGGGACAATTAAAACAAGGACAAACAGATTAAAAAATAGTTTTTATTCGAGAGCTATTATTGCTTTAAATGCTGTATGAAATTGGGAGTTTGGGTGACATTGGTGGTTTAAGTTGCAATGTGAACCTTAAGGGGAGTTATGGGATGGTTGTGAATGGTTGTGTGAGTGTATATGAGTATGGTTCACCGAAATGATTGCATCTTTAATTTCGTTGTACTATGTACAATGACAATAAAGTATATTATTATTATTATTATTATTATGATGATGATGATGATGATGAGGAAAATGAGAATGAGGAAAAGCAGCCTTTGTATGTTTATATCTTCATTTCCTGATAGCTTGCTATGTGCACAGCACAACCTGGATTCTGGCCCAGTTTTAGCTTCCCCCTCTACCCAAGACAAACAGCACATTGCTTTTTTTAAGCGATTAGCTATTTTTCTTAGCTGTTAGGTATTTTTAAAGCAATTTTTTAGCTGTTTTGTAGCTTGAGTGGTGGGTGTTGCTGCTGAATCCAAAAGGCAACAAGAAATCTCAGGCACGCACACACACACACACACACACACACCTGGATCATGCAGTCTTATGCAGCCAGTGTGATGTAGCGGTTTAGAGTATCAGTATCTGGGACACCCAGGTTCAAATACCCACTAATGCCATAGAAGCTCACTGGATGACCTTGGGCCAGTCCCACACTCTCTTAGGGTTGCCAAGTCTTTTTGACTCACCGGCGGGGGAGCGTCTTCTCGATCCAGGAGCTGCATCGGGACGCGCACGTGCCGCCAGAACGTCACAGGAAGTGCCGCACGACGTACAGCACATTGGGGGCGTGGCCCAGATCGTCGGGGGGGAACCATAGGTTCCCCCGGGTCCGGGAGCTGCCGATGGACGGGCGTGCTGAGACGCAGCCTGTCCTGTGACACAGCCACGCTGCGCTTCGGGGGGGGGTCCCACCGGGGCCCGATTCCGCCGCGGCGGAAATTGGGCCTCCAAAGCGGGGGTTTCCCCGCCCCCACTTGGCAGCCCTACACTCTCTCAACCTAACCTACTTCACAGGGTGGTTGTGAGGATAAAATGAAGGAGAGGAGAACGATGTAAGCCGCTCTGAATTCCCATTGGGGGCAACGGTGGGGTATAAATGAATTAAATAAATAAAATAAAGAAGGAAATAAATATGGACTGTGGCATGAAAGAGCTAGGGACCCAAGTCAACAGGTAAGAGTTCTCTGGATCTGAACATGGCTGAACTGAGGCATTTTAAACACAGGGAAGGGCTCGTGCAGTTCCCCAGTTGCTTCCACATTATGGCGTTACAACAATATTCAATTGCCAGTTAAAATAAAGAGCCCCTCCCCTGGTGGTGGAGGAGGAAATGATAACCGCAGGGTCCCAACCGGGTGGGACTGGGAGAATCTGGACTTCCCCTCCCACGTGGCAGACATCCAGGCATCTGCCCTGATCTCCCCCCCCCCCAAATCTTTGGAACAAAGCAGGTTTGTAAAAGATCAGAGAAAAGCTGGGGAAACCTTGGGAGGGGGCATGAATCAACGAATGTACCATAATTCTCTGGGGAAACAGGACAAAACCCCACTTCCCAACAGTACTGAACAACAGCGGGGAGGCGAGCGGCTCGAGCGGAGGTTGGGCCGGCGAAGCGCGGCGGCGGGGCAATGCAGCAGGCCGGAGCCAATTGGGACAGAGGCCGGCTGCGGTCGCACGCGCCGTCGTGCGCTGTGGGTCCATACCCGGAAGGAGCCGCTGCGATCGAAAGGAAGACCTGCGCCAAAAAGACGCCGTCGCCCGGACTGAAGAGCCTCCGTAAGAAACAACCACAACTAAGACCCTGCCATGGGTGCCTGATAGGTAGCCCCCTCCCCTCATTGTGTGTGTGGCCCTAGTAAAGGTAACGTAATTAATAATTGTACAATGTAAACCGCTTAGAGCCCTTAGGGGGTGAGCGGTCTATAAATTGAAAGTTAAATAAAAAAAATAAAAGATAAGCAAGGGGCAAATAAAGTGTGTGGAAACGGCCTGAGCCTCCACGGTCAGAGGCAGTGTACCTTTCGGTGCCAGCAGCAAATAGCAGAGGGAAGCCTGTGTGTCTTGTGGGTAAGTCTGCCAGAGGCATCTGGCTAGCCACTACTGGAAACAAGACACTGGGCTAGACAGACCTCCGATTTGATTCAGCAGGGCTTATCCACGCAAATCATGCTGTGCTTAAATTAGTCAAACTTGGCTACAGCACTCTGGCTCATGCGATGTTTCTAGCGAGTAACTAAACAAGCCGCCCTGTAATCATTCTTTGGCGCTGATGATCACCCCCCTCCTCTTTCCCTCTCTCCCTCCCTCATCTGCCGCTGTACCTCCCGGGGACTTGCTGACGGTTCTTTTCCACAGTCTGCAGACTGGAGGGGAGGGAGAGAATGAGCTCATTCCAACAGCTGTTTTCCCTTAAGAGGCAGTAATGCAGTGAAAAGGGGGTGGGGGTGGGGGGAAGGACACACATTTGTTCACTTACAAGGCAAAACGTCTAGAAACCGATTCTGCAAACCTCCTCTGAAAGTTAGCCCTGTAAATAATTTTATAGGGCTGAAATGAAAAAGCATTGTTTCAACACTTTGCCATCAAACTTTGCTCCAGATCAGAGGGCGGATCCCGTCTGGGGTAAAAGATACAAGCATTTTATCGGGTTGCAGAATCAGGGGGATAAAAGAATTGCAAAGGCGTCTGCCCAATTGAAACAGCAGGGGATTACGTCAAAGACTATTTCCAGAACCACCAAAAGCCACTTTGCTTTTTTGAGTCTGCCCTAATCACAGTCCGTATCCCCACCCCCCCACCCCAAACTGCAATACAGAATGGCCACATCCCCTTCCTGTACATACTTTTAAATTCTAGGATTCTAAGCAATGGAATGGATTCTGCCGCCCATAACTGGATCATATCTATACCAAATGCTGTCGCAACATTTAAGAATCTTCTGCATGATCCATCTTTTCCCTTTACCAGAACTTACCTGTTCTAGTTTAGTGACCGGCAAATCCTTGGGCGGGGCTGTGGACAAAGATCCCCTTTGGACACTACCCACACTCAACCAAATCATCATCTGGTAGTGAATCAAAGGTCACCAGGGATCCCAGAATTTTGCCCGACTTGGTATCCCCAAACATCTGTTGTTGCCCACAACTTGGAAGTAAAAATAAACAGCATTTTTCTTTGAAATGGCTTCCCTCCCAAACAGATACACCTGAATAGCTGAAATCCCCCCAAATTCTTCTGCATAAATGCAAGGACAGCAGAAGAAATACAACATGAAGTTATTTAATACTACTGGGCTCCGAAGTAAAACAGAATGGCATAAGAAGGCGAGTCATTCTGTATTACCCCAGAACCCAAAGAGTTAACCCAGCAGACTCCAGTTTTATCTTGTAATTATTACAGGCCTTCTGTCTGCCTCCCCTGGCAATGACCAATATTTACGCTAAGAAAAATATTTTAAAAGTTCTGCACAGTATCAACATTTCAAATTGTGGTTCCAAGGCCCCCGGGGCATCTCCTTACTTAGGATGCTTGTCATACATGATAGGCAAAAATTCATCCACTGGTAGGATTTTGGAAAGGGGCTGAGCGTCGATCAATTTCTGAGCCCCCTGCCGTGAGATGACGTAGGCCAAAGTCCAGTAGGAATACTCGGCCACTACAAGATTCCGCACGTCCTCCACTGGCTCTTCATCCTCAGAGTTCACTTGTTTCCTGCCCAGGTAACTGAAAAGACAGACCAGCTGAGTTCAGTCAAGGCCTACACATGGTATAACATGCAGGGCTATTTTTGGGCAGGAACGCACAGGAACAGAGTTCTGGCTGGCTCCTGAGTTGGCCACACCAAGCAGGAACTCATTAGCATAATAGGCCACACCCAACAGCAGAAACTCATTAGAATTGGCTACATTAGGGGTGTGTGGCCTAACATGCAAAGGAGTTCCTGCTACAAAAAGAGCTCTGGGTTTTGACAAAAGGTGGGTGTGGCTGGATGACCACACTTCTGGTAACATGGGGGGCGGCCTAATATGCTAATGTCCTGTGCTGTCAAGGGTGTGGCTATTATGCTAATGCGTTCCTGCTGGGCTTTTTCTACAAAAAGAGCCCTGCATGTAAGCCAACAATGCAGCAGGGTAGGTGCTATAGCTCATTAGAAGAGCATATATTTGCATGCAGGAGTTTCCCGGGGTCAAATCCTGACATTTCCAATGGAAATGGATCTCTAGAAACTGGCGCTGGGGAAGAACTTTGTCCCAGACCTCGCAGAACCACAGCAACTTTGATTAGGCCATTGGCATGCCGTTAGGCAAATGAAGCAAACTCCAGAGAATGACAGAAGACAGGAGGGCCTGGCGTGATGTGGTCCATGGGGTCACGAAGAGTCAACTGTGCAACTGAACAACAACAACATGCCATTAGGCATCTAGGCATGCACACAGATCATGGGGTTGGCCACATGGTGTGCAAATCAAAAGGTTCCCCGTCTAATCTGAATTAAGATCTTCTGTGGACATCCTCCTCCAGGAGTCCACACCTTCAAAGATGTGCAGGATGTCTACCAGAGATGGGGCGTTTTCCACTGTGGCACTTTGGTTGAAGAGTTCCCTCCACACAGCTAGTCAACAGCTGCTTGGATTTTTAGTTTCAGGTGCCAAGCTAACACCTTATAGCCACACCAGCTTGGGGCTGTATTAGATGCTGGAGAGGGGGATAGCCCTGTTTCTCTTCCAACTTCTGTGTGCTGTTTCTAGTAACAGACTCGTTTGGATAGTTGTTGCTAGGGGTGTGCAAAAAAAATTGTTTTTTTCTGATTCGGGTCTATTGGACCCGGAAAATATCAGTACTCCCATATATTCCCAAATACCAATATCGGTTTTGTATTGGGATACAGGTAAATATTTGGGAAACCTGAATTTATTTGGCTCCATTATACCCTATGGAGACCGTCCCCATGGGGTCTAATGGAGAAGGGATGTAAACTTTAAATGCTTGCTGAGTTTGCAAGTGAACTCAGCGAGCATTTAAAGTTTACATCCCTTGTGAGTTCACTCGCTGAGTCATGCTGCGACGATTCGAGAGTGAACTCAGAAGGGATTTAAACTTTAAATACTTGCAGAGTTCACTTGCGAAGTCACACTTCCACAGAGGCGCGACTTGGTGAGTGAACTCAGAAGGCATTTAAAGAGACCACGGTACTGAATAAGGTATATTTTGGGTATTTATTTGGCTCAGTATATACTGAGTGCACACCCCTAGTTGTTGCTATCATTTTTATTGCTGACTATTTGTTGAATTTTTAAAAATTGTTGATTTTATAAAGGACTAGAAATAAGGCCCATTGTGGAAATAAATACAACGAGATCTAGAAAGAGGCTCTGGGAGAGTGCTCTGGCTTTGGGCAAACAGTGTCAGTCTGCTTTTAAAACATGAATCTGGGACCTGCACACCACCAGAATACTGCAGGTTCCATATGCAACTGACATTCCAACTGCCTTGCGGGGGGGGGGAGTTTGAGGTGTGGAATGGAGTGAAGTCCAATCAGCTTCCATATGCAAAAGACCAGGTTGTCGCAGCAGTTGTGGTGTGGGCGGGACCCGGGCTTTGCCTTCTGATTGGTGGCGATATTTTCTGAGGAGCAGTGCCATCAGCCATACACTAAGGGAGTGCATTTTAGAATTAGAACTTTGGCACCCACTATTCAATTATATATAAGGAGAGATGCCACCTTGGAAACCTCTGGAGGAGGGAATGAATTTTTTCAAATCAAATCAAATGATCCATAGACCAGTCTTAGGTAGGAGTTCTGGGAAAGCTCAATTGTCAGTCGGAGACTACAAGATTTATAAATAAGTCGACAGGGCAATTACGGCCTTCTAAGCCCACTGACTAGAAGGGTATAACTCTGCTCAGGATTGCCCTACAATGTTCCAGCTTGGGGTAAGACACGTTGTCTTGGCACGATAGCACCCAGCACGGTCTATCTGTCTATCTAGTACTGCTCATAGGGCTATCACCTTAAGCAGAAATTAGAACCAAAAGAATATTTTAAAAGACCTTACTCAGTATTATTTCTCTTATATTTGATTACTGCGCCTATGAATTTTGCCACTGAGAGGGTGACACGGTCATTGGGATCCGATAGCAGCCATGACACCTGGGCTCGCACATTTAGTAGTTCCGTATCTTTAAGTAAGGTAAAAAGGTAAAGGTTCCCTTGCTCGAAAGCCAGTCGAGTCCGACTCTAGGGTTGCGGTGCTCATCTCTGTTTCCAAGCCGAAGAGCCAGCGCTGTCCGAAGACGTTTCCGTGGTCATGTGGCCGGCGTGACTAAACACCAAGGCGCACGGAACGCTGTTACCTTCCCACCGAAGTGGTACCTATTTATCTACTTGCAATGTCTTGCTTTCGAACTGCTAGGTTGGCCGGAGCTGGAGCTAGAGACGGGAGCTCACTCCGTCATGCGGCACACTCGGGTCTCGAACTGCTGAACTACTGACCTTCCACAGCCTGCAGTTCAGCGCCTTAACCACTTGAGCCACCGCAGCTCCTATCTTTAAGTAAAGGGGTGACTAAATGAGCCCTCCGCTCGTTGAATAGAGGGCCCTCCCATCACGTTCTATGTCCCTGCCAACAGTGTAGACAGTGCAGCTGAAATGGGCCCATCCCCACTGCCTAGCCCTACGTACATCAGGTCCCAGTCCAGCTGCGCCCGCTCCAGGTCATCCATCAGCCTCAACAGCCGCTTTTTGAGATATGGTTGAAAGCGAACATCATCTTCCAACACTACTGACTTGTCCAGCCCTCGCTCCACGATCTGGAAAGACACAAAGCACGTGGATCTCAACGACAGGCTCAGAGATCTCACCTAGAGCAGCTCAAATCTGAAGCCAGAATTCCACCCCAAGGGAACTTCCACTGGCTGTTAGGGCATTAGTCCTTGGCCTTTTCCACAAGTTCAATTTACTCCTGATTATCAGTCGATCCACAAACATTGGAATCAGTTTGGGAATGGTTCTTCTGCGCATCTGACCTCCCTCAGCACTTTCAGTTGTTGAGCCAGTTTATTTTCTTCTGCATGTGTCTTAAATACTCAGGATTTTAAAGGGAGGGTGTTGTCATCACTGGTGACATCATTGGTGGTGCTACAGCACACTCTCCTTTGGATTTTTTGTGTATGTGTACATTGATAATATGGCTGCATTTTTTTTTAAACAGCAGTTAAATAGCAATATATTGATCTATTGTTGTAATGACAGGTTTAGCAGGTTGCCTGAATTCCTACTTTTCATTTAAAAAAAGTAAGTCTCTAGGCTTACCTCCGCAAATGAATGGCCTGGAGACTTACTTTTTAAAAAATGAAAGCTGAGAATTCAGAGAACCTGCTTAAAACTATCGTTACAATGGTATATTGATATATTGATATTTTAATGCCTTTTTTAAAAAGTTAAAAATGAAACTACTTGTCTTCAGGGCACAGGGAGAGTGGTTCAATGATGACAACAGTCCAATCATTAAAAGTGGGCTTGGAGGTGGGTGGGACAAAGAAGACCGAGAGAATCATTACGCACAAGGAAGAAGGTGACTCAAAATTGGCTTCCAGAAAAAGATCAGGATAAAAGTAGTTTCAAAAGAACCAGATAAAAACCAGGGGGAGGTGGAACAAAGTGAAAACTAAAGGCACAAAAATGCATGTGGAAATCCAGATAAACCAAGGCAGTGCAGTGACAAAATCAACAGAAAAAAGTACGCAAAAAAGCCCCTTGTGAAGAAATTCAAAAGCTCTTCAAGAGGAGAGGCAAAAGTAGACGCCATTTCCATCGTGACCCAGTCTCAGTTTCCCCATCTGTGATATGGGACAATAATACTGGCCCATACGGGGCCGTTGTGTGGATTACTGCGAACCCTGTTGTGAAGCGTTTTGACAACTGAAAGCACTAAATAAATGTCAAGAACTGTTATCATTTGAGGACATGAAATCAAATTCTCCCTTGGCCGGCTCCTCCTAGGTCAACAAACCCAGCCTCTTTTCTGCATTTTCTTCTCATTCTGCCTGAGCTTTTACCTCTTTCCACACATAATGGTGGCTAAGGAAGCAGCCGACCTCTCCCTTCGTAAGTGTCCTGCCTGAGAAGGGGTCGTAATATCCCGGAAGCAGGTCCACACCCAGTTTCTTGATATCGCTGCTGTTCAAGGCACTGGGGGAGAAGAGACGGTGGTAGTTAGCAACACTGTTCTTTACAGGAAAGAACCTTCCAGGCACGGCACCCGATGGCACCCAGCGCAGTAAGGCCCAGCCTGCAAAAGCTCGTACCACAATGGCACTGGACTCTGGAGTGGCGTTGCCAGCCTTCAGGTTGGTCAAACAACAAATATATACACTGCAAAAACCTTATTTATAAGTTAAAGTCTTCTATGGCTGCGGTCACACGGAACAGAAGCCACACAAGTGAGACGGAAAACAGGCGGAGTTTCCGGGCGCGATCTCACCAGCACATCTGGGAAGCGTAGCACTCCCATGGCTCAACTGAGGCTTCCAGCCGAAACTGCGTGGCAAAAAACTAGTACCTCGGAGGTACTAGTTTCCGGAAACTGCGGGACAAGGGCGGGCGTCTGATCGCGTTTCCGGTGGCATCCAGCGCCCGCCCATGTCCCCTTGCAAATAAGGTGTTTTTTTTTGTCCAAGTCTCTGTGGATGCGCACACGCACCCAACGGAGCATGCGCATTTGTCGTGTACACACAAAAAAAAACAGTTTGCCGCGGCGCGCGCTTCTTCATTGCGCTCCGGCTTGTCCTGTGATCAGCACCTCTCCCTTGCCATGGAACCTCCACGGTACCTCTACAGGACCTCCACGGGAGGTCTGATCGCGTAACTGCGCAGTAGTTTGCCCCGGGGCAAACAGCCACACTTCTCCCCCACAGTTTCCTGCCCGTGTGACTGGGGCCTATGTGTTCCATCTTATAAAGTGCATTGTGTATTATTCATAATATTCTAAAACAGGTATATATTCATTACATGCAATATGAACAATAATAATCAGTTTAATGTCCTGGCCCCACTGGTGGACCTCCTGATGACACTGGTATTTGGGCCACTGTGTGATACAGTGTTGGACTGGATGGGCCTTTAGCCTGATCCAACATTGGCATCTCTTATGTTCTTATGTTCTTAATCTAATAGCTACCAGTCAATTTACATCCTGTTTACACAATCAACCCCAACGGGCGCCGTCTATGACTGTCAGCTGCTTAATAGGCCTTTTGTAGGACCAGCAACAAACGTCAATTTAAACTTCAATGTAACCACAAAAGGAAACTTCCCCCTTTAGAAGACTTTCAAGCAAGGAGAAGCGGGTGTACAATTCCAGAAACTCCCGTTGGGGTTGACTGTGTAAAAAGGATGTAAATTGACTGGTCACTATTAGATTGTACAAACTGATTATTATTGTTGATATTGCATATAATGAATATATACCTGTTTTAGAATATTATGAATATTATTATACTTGGGGGATCCACTATGGCTAGAAAGTAGTTTATAAATGTAGCAAATATTAGTGTGTGTGTGTTAAAAACTGGGTTTTTTAACATATATGTTTAAATAAAAAAATATTTGCAAAAAAAAATATGTAGCAAATAGATAAAATAAAACTCATAGCCACGACTCCCTCTCAAAACAGTGTCCGGGATTGACTGCATTCACCGGCCCTGTTCTGGGTAAAGCAACCCAAAATGAAACTCACTGGGGAACCTTGGGCCGGTCATTCTCTCTCAGTCAAACCTCCCTCACAGGGCTGTTGTGAAGACAATATGGAAGAGGGGAGATGTACGTATACCACCTTGAAATCCTTGAATATTTCTGTACATTTACAGTGCATTTTTATTCCAGTCTTTCTCCTATGAAAATGTTTGTCTATACAAAAAAAAAAAAATCAACCAAAAGCATCACCCACCTTCCGTCCACGGCGTTTACCAGCAGGGGGTCGATCTCCAACTCAGAGAGTGCACTCAGCATGCGGTGCCGCCGGTCTGAACGCCGCGCCAAGTTGATGAGGAAAATCTGAAAAGACAGCAAAGAGATGGTAGCCATGCGAGGGCAACAGGACCGTGGGGGATCCCATCACAGCTGGAATCCAAGCAGCCATGGCAGGATCCGGTCCCAAAACGGTGGGCCGATGCCAACATGCGCCGTTGCCAAACCAGGAGGCCGCGTCAGAAAGCACCAGCCTGGTCTCCAAAGAGGAGAAAAGGTGGAGACGCCAAAATGCAGTTCTTATGGGGAGTCCAACAGCAGGAAGAACACTTACAGTGATGTGATAATAATGCAACCGAGTAGGGGGGAAAGCCAAGGCAGCCAGTGTGGTGTAGAGGAGGAGAATACCCCGCCCTTCACTCAGAGTCTCAGAGCGGCTTACAAACTCCTGTCCCTTCCCCTCCCCACAACAGACACCCTGTGAGGTAGGTGGGGAGCAGAAACTGCTTTTTTTAAGGACAGCTCTTATCAGAACTATGGCTTGCCCAAGGTCATCCAGCAGGTGCAAGTGGAGGTGTGAGGAATCAAACCTGGTACTCCCAGATTAGAGTCCGCGCACTTAACCACTACACCAAACTGGCCCATATTAGAGTGGCGGACCCACAATTATGCAATTCCGCAAGGCCTGTAAGGCAGAGATGTTTTGCCAGGCTTTTGGTTGAGGGCAGCGACAGTTTCCATTCTGGCTGGCACCCTCTCCTCCTTTCCAGACGGCTCTGTTCTTCTTCCCCCCCCACCCATGAGGTGGCTGCAGTTTGGAATGAGAAGAAACTTTGAAACTTCACCATCTGATTCGTTTAGATTTGCTGTATTACTACTGTTTATGCATTTTATTCTATGGCTTTGATGTTTTTTATCAAATGTCCCTGCAGTAGCAGGGACTGGCCAGTCCACAATTATCATCATCATAATCGTTTATGCATTTTATTCTATGGTTTTGATGCTTTTTATCAAATGTCCCTGCAATCCACAATTATCATCATCATAATCAATACTACTACTACTAGTCACTACTACTACTACTAACTACTACTACTACTCGTAGTAGTAGTCATAGTAGTAGTAAATAGAGCCAGCAGCGGGTAATACTGGAGGCAGAGGAGGCCTCTGTCAACTATGCTGCCATGGGGGTGGGGAGGTTGGTTGTATTCTAATTGCTTCTGCATTCCTTCTGTGCTTTTTTGCTGCTGTCTTATCTATAAGTTCTGCAGGTGGTGATGTTGATGTCTGGGTTTCTCGGGGGCCGTGGGAGAGAGTTTGGTTCCCAGCTTCAGCACTAAACAGCCGGAGCTCTTTTCTCCCGCACGCGGGAGGGTAGCTAATTGGCCAGGGCAGTGGGGGGGTGCATACGAATACCCTATATCCTATTATGCCCCAGGGGCAGCCGCCATGCTTAGCAGTGCCTATGTTAATGCATCTATAGCTCTTCAATAAAGTATTACCTTTTCTGAAAGTGTGTACTACGTTGTTGGCTGTGGGTTCTGACAGCCTCACATAATGACCCTGGGTATGGGAACAGAGATGTTATATCAGTGCCTATATTTTCATCCGTTAAAGGTTGGAGGGTTTGTACTTGGGTACCAGCAGGTCATAGATTTATGCTGCACGGGGATGCACACTAAAATAATTATCAGGAAATGATTCACAACCAGGAAGGCTGGAGATTTACTTTTTAAAAAAATCTGAAAGTCAACTCGGAGGATCCGAAAATGGGAGGGCCAAAGAGGTCCGATTCCTGTAACATCACAGAGTTTACTTCACTCCTGCATGCCAAATCCTCATACGAACGGATGCAAAAAACCACACTCGGCTCACTCCATGCTCCACAACGCTCTTACCTCATCAAACCCAATTTTGCTCAGGCGCTTTGGGGGGAGGTAAACATGCTTGGAGGGGGTCATAGGGGGGCCATCCACTGCAAGAGAGACACACAATGTGTGGAATTGAGGCAAATGCAAAGTGTATATGTTCTGCGATTAACAAAAATACTGAATCATGTGCCAAGAAAGCCTGTTCAAGGAAAGCTGCACATATGGGCTTATTTTGCATAATTTATCCTGCATATGGTAGTTGGGGGGGATGAGTTGTGCTGGGGTGTGGGAAGCCTGTTCACCGAAAAATTCTTCTTAATCATCCTCAGAATTCTGGGATTTGGCAAGGCACAGCTCACATGTTTTCAAACTTAGCTTGACAGCCATGCGGGATAGGAACTTATATATTCTTTTTTTAAAAAAACAAACCAAACCTGAAAGCAGTCTCTCTCTCTCTCTCTCTCTCTCTCTAGCTGACATATTCTGTATGCAATACCAAATTATGTGTGATCATAAAGCACACAGACAGGATCAAATCTTTCTTCTTCCAATGACTAGGCAGAGGAAAATGCCACTAAAACGTCTTGGGCCGAACCTGTCTTCGGCCATCGTGCTACAAAGAAGCAAAGGAAACCTGTGGCACTCTAAGAAATAATGGCTGGCTCAAATATTATGGCCCAAGGATAAGATATGCGCAAACCTCTCAGTTGGAGTAACCCATCTCAGAAGAGTTCAGTGGCTGAAGCAGCAGCATCACAAAGTACAATTCAGTAAAGGGCAGTAAGCAGGGACTGCATTGAAGGTTACAGCTTGAATATTTACCTTCTTGGATTTTTGAAAGTTGGCAAGTCTGGATTTCCCCAAAGCAGGGAAAATCTAAACAATAGTAGATATGGTACCCAGGCCAGGATCCCAGCCAAAAGAAAGTAATTTTGATCCCTTTCTTTCTCACCAAGGGGGCATAAAAGGGGTGGGGGTAGGGCTGCCAAGTGGGGGCGGGTGGTGGGTAAACCCCCGCTTTGGAGGCCCGATTTCCGCCGCCGCGGAATCAGGCCCCGGGGGGAACCCCGCCCCCCCGAAGCGCAGCGTGGGTGCATCACAGGAAGTGACGCAACCACGTAGAACACGTTGGGGGCGTGGCCCCAATCATTGGAGGGGAAACTCTACGGTTTTCCCTCCAACGATTGGGGCCATGCCCCCAACATGCTCTACGTCGTGCGTCACTTCCTGTGACGTTCTGCGCGGGTACCTCGGCAGCTCCCGGACCGAAGTGACGCTCCCCCGCCAGTAAGTCAGAACGACTTGGCAACCCTAGTGGGGGAGTAGACGCTTACCCATGGCCTCCAGAATAAGGTGCACAAAGTTGATGCTTTCATCCTCCAGCGTCTGATGCGACTTCACGGGGACGTTGATGTAGCCAAAGTGTTCCTGGTTGCTCAAGTATATCTGGACTCCTGCGCACGAGACACAAATGAATCACAGGCCCTACACAGGCAGTGCAGATTCCCTGCCTAAGAATCCCCTCTGCTCACTCTGGTACCCATAATATAGCCCCACTGGTCCCCCGTGCTTTCCCAGATCAGAACTGTATACCCAGACAGTTTGTTTATCAGTTCTTCCCTATTTGGTAAGTTATCTGACTTCCAGTTTCTAGCAACACAAATTCTAGCCATAGTAATTAAGTATATAATAGTAAATGTTTCATTGTATTTTATACCATTAGGAATAATGTTTAATAAAAAGATTTCTGGATTTAAAGGTAAATCTACTGCTATGATGTCTTTTATCAGTTGTTTAGTAAGTTTCCAAAATTTTTGTATCTTATCACAGTTCCACCAGATATGTAAATACGTTCCTTGATTATTTTTACATCTCCAACAGTTCCCAGACACGGTTTTGTAACACTTTTGCAGCCTATCCGCGTCCAGTGCCATCTATAGCAAATAGAAATGGATAAATTAAATATGTTTTTGGCTGGAAAGTCAGAGGACAAATTTGACCAGAAATGGCATGGGGCTATAAAATGGTATGAGGAAAATCTTTCAACCCCCAAATGTTAACAAAGTGGTGATAATTGTATGTATAAGTTGGAAAATGGTAAATAAACTGTTTAAAAAAAAAAAAGGACTGTATACCCAGGAAACAAAAATGCTTTCCCAGATCAGAACTGTATACCCAGGAAACAAAAGAATTCTATGCTAAAAACAATGCAAACCAACCAGCAACGGATGCATTTTTGCTTCTTTAATTTATTCCTTTCATGCCTCTGACATCATGAGCTTTGACTTCCCCAAGCTTATGCTGTAACAAAGGAGCTAGTCCTTAAGGTGTTGCAAGACTCTTGGTTACTTTGAATAAACAGGAACAACTGGGAACTCTTTATTCCAACTCCAGCAATTGACATGTATGGAGAACTCCAGAATCTTTAGTCAAGGGCGGTACAGAAGTAACAGCGGAGGAATCAATTGAGGGATGAATAGATTAATAAGGACACAAACAGGTCAGGAAGTAAGGTGGGTGGTAGTGGCACATAGAGCTAAAATGAATTTGGAAGTAGCTAATCTCAAGCAATTTTCAGAATTTGAATTCGTGTGTAAAAGGTAAAGGTAAAGTTTCCCTTGCTCGAAAGCCAGTCGAATCTAGGGATGCGATGCTCATCTCCGTTTCCAAGCCGAAGAGCCAGCACTGTCCAAAGACGTTTCCATGGTCATGTGGCCGGCATGACTAGACGCCGAGGTGCACAGAACGCTGTTACCTTCCCACCGCAGCAGTACCTATTTATCTCCTTGCAGTCTCTTGCTTTCGGACTGCTAGGTTGGCAGGAGCTGGGGCCAGAGACGGGAGTTCACTCCATCATGCGGCACTCGGGTCTCGAACTGCTGAACTACCGACCTTCCGGCTTGCAGTTCAGCATCTTAACCACTTGAGCCACCGCAGCCCTTTCGAATTTGTGTTGTACAAACACACAAAACTGGGCTTTGTCATGCCTGCCCCCGACCCGGCGCCTGGGAGCTCTGAAACTGAGGACTCCGTGCCCTTAACACCATCAGAGGAACGGGAGTCTTTGCCAAACCTAAGTACCAAAAAGGATAAGCACCATCCTCCAGAACAGCCTGCACCTGAAACCGATCAGGCGGTGCCTGGCCCCAGCAGCACGCCACCTGATTCTCCGCCACCTGTCGACCGGCTGAGGGATCAAAGACGCTGGGACTTGGCAACCAGACGCAAAGAGGCACGCTTGCACGGTTGGAGATCAATAATCCCAGAGTTCTAGCAGGATCAAGGACTTCGCGAGGCAGTGCTAATGAGGCACTAATGAGTTAACAACCCAGCGAGCTATTTGAATAGGTTGGTGACTGCTGGCTAATCGTGCGGGCAAACCCGTCCTTCGGACATGTCTCAGGTTCAATCCCCAACATTTCCAGTTAAAAGGATCAGGCAGTAGGTGTGGAAGAACTCAGCCTGTGAGCCGCTGCCAGTCTGAGTAGGCTCTGCACCCTGACTTCGACGCTTGCCTATCTGGACTCTGACTCTCGGTAACGCTCTGACTACGGCCTGGCTTTATGTATTGGGACTGTTGCTCTGGTTGTTTTGCTCTCTCTCTGGCTTGACTCTCGGACTGGACTGTGAACTCCCCCTCTCTGCCTTGCCCCACTGGCCCTGTTGCAACAGGCTTAGACCTTTGGTCCAGTCTCAAACAAAGACCTTTCCTGCCCTGCCCCGGATGGCCCAAGTGAGCACAATCTCGTCAGATCTCGGCAGCTAAGTGGGGACATCCCTGGTTAGTGCTTGGACAGGTGGGCCACCAAGGAAGTCCAGGGTCGCGATGCAGAGGCAGGCCATGGCAAATCACCTCTGAACATCTCTTGCCTTGGAAACCCTACGGGGTCACCAAACGTTGGCTGTGACTTGACAGCGGGGGGGAGAGGAAGTATGAACACATGAAGCTCCCTCAGACCATTATTTACAAGATTTTTATCCCGCCTTTCTGCCTGTCAGCTAGCTGCCATGTTTTGCTTGTTCCCTTCTCTGATCCTGGCTTGCTCGCTGCTCTGCCCACTTGCCGTAAACAGCGATAGGGAGACCGTGAGAACCAGTGCTGCCAGACAGCGTTATCTGTCTGGCCTTGTGCAGGGGGGAGGGCTTGCGTTCCACCGCTGGTGTGAAGCTTTCGGCTCTCATGAGGCACTGAAACTCTCCCGCTTATTACGTATCCTCCCGCCGGGAGAATTCCCGCGCACGCGCTCGAATTTCATTTGCTTAGCCATTTGCTTCATCCTGCTATATGTAGGGACAGGGCTATTTTTGGGCAGGAACGCACAGGAACGGAGTTCCAGCTGGCTTCAGAGTTGGCCACGCCCACTACAGCCAAAACCTCTGCGTGCCTGGCTACAGAGGGAAGGCCTGGAGAGCAATACCCCC